CATCACTGCTCTAGAGGAGATCTGCATGGAGGAATGGGCCAAAATACCAGCAACAGTGTGTGAAAACCTTGTGAAGACTTACAGAAAACGTTTGACCTGTGTCATTGCCAACAAAGGGTATATAACAAAGTATTGAGAAACTTTTGTTATTGACCAAATACTTATTTTCCACCATCATTTGCAAATAAATTCATTAAAAATCCTACAATGTGATTTTCTGGATTTTTTTTCTCATTTTGTCTGTCATAGTTGACGTGTACCTATGATGAAAATTACAGGCCTCTCTCATCTTTTTAAGTGGGAGAACTTGCACAATTGGTGGCTGACTAAATACTTTTTTTCCCCACTGTAGGCATTCGCATTTTCTCAAGCGATGCTGAAAGAAATCCTATTTCTCCACTCCTGTTCACGAGACAAAATTAACATGTGTTATATAATTTTACTGCAAGAAATGCAATAACTGATGCATTTACGAACGCTAAACACCAGTTGAATATGGCCGGTGTCAGTAAACGTGGCCAAAAACGTAATTAAATTGTTGCCAGCAGCACAGTTAGTCACCAACGCTCTGGATAATATGAAAACAGCCTAACCAGCTCTGCTAGGGCGAGTAAAATGGTCAGAGTGAGGTGTTCTCTCATTTGTCTGGAAGTAGCTAGCAAGTAATGTAAGTAGTATAACCCCTTCCCTTAGTGCCGCCGCGAGCACCTCCGGGTCCATGTGGCTCTCGTGCCCATCGAAGAGGAGAAGGAGAGGGCGCTCTTTCACTGCATGCTTAATGAAGTGCTGAAACCACTTTCTGAACAGGTCCCCGTCAATGTAGCCACTGCTAGCCAAGGCTTGGAGGGGGGGGGCTCCCAGTGTGTAGTGGCCACCGGGGAAACACTTGGGGTAGATGATAAACGGGGTGACGTCCTCCCCAGCTGCGTTGAAGCAGGCCAGCACTGTGATGTGCTCCTTGGTCACAGGAGCCTGCTGGTACACGTTGTGCCTGCTCTGGTCGCTACGAAACCCAGACTCATCGCAATTATAGATTTGTCTGGGTTTCTCCCTCAACCCACTATGGGGGATTTATTATTCTCATAATTGATGGGATGACTAACTTAGAAAGAATGCATTCAGGACTGTGCTGATGTGGGTTGTGACACCTGGCAAGCTGTGATTGATGTGAAGAGCTGTTTTAGGGGTTAAGATAAGATAATAATTTGTGTCTCCAAATACTAGATTATACTGGTTCTTTGTGATCTGTGAACCTTCCTTGGACGTAGGAATGGTGTCTAGGGGAGCTGGCTCTTCTCACCATGACAGGTTGTTATGATAAACTTATGCCTGGCAACCGGGATGCGCTAAGGGCCTGGGACTAGCCCGTGCGTCAACGGATAGGCTGAGTAAGTCTAAACCACGCTCAGCCTCTACTCTGATTGGCCAGCAGAGAGGTGGGAACTCTCTCTCTGTCAGAGTATTTGAGGAAGAACCTGAAACAATGGATTAGTTCTCTGAGTGCCCTGCGAGGTATTTCAAGGAGCCCGTATATACGAAACATCATATTTACCATTGAAGGTTTTACATTAATTAAAATACTAGTATATCTTAGAAGTCGTGTTGACCTCTTTTGTTCCTAATAACAGATTTGAATTGACGTAACTTTGACAATTGGTGACTTCCGACGTGATCTGGTAAAGGGACTTCGCTGGGTATTGTCCGGCCCATTTGGTCACCTCTTTCATTGGACGGTGTGTTTCACAAAGAGTCCGGACTACTAAAAAAGGTAAGCAGAAACCTATTGTTACATAACTAAAGATCTGCACATTGGCTTTATCCAAATTAATTTTGTGAAACACCTGTCTGATGTAAGTGAACTAAATTATGAAACTATTATGAGTAGATAAGCACAATATTGTGACATGCAAACCTTTGGTGAATGTGATGTTAAACCATGGTACCAGAGAGTATTTGTGCTACCGGCAAGGTCCTGTGGAATACGGCTAGGTTCAGGAGACAATACTGACATCTATCGGCAAGGTCCGTAATTGCGAGAATACGGCTAAGGTTCGGAGATACAGGGAATAATTGACTTAAGTAATTGCTATCGGCAAGGTTCGTAACTACGTGGATACGGCTAGGTTCGTAGAATTACACCGGCAAGGTCCATGACTTCAAGGATATGGCTGGGTTCGGTAAATTTTAGATAATACTGGTGACTGGCAAGGTCCGTAACTTAGGGTTGCGGCTAGGTTCAGCAGAGTATTTTGAAGAAAATAGAAGCGGCTGTGTGCCCAAATAGATTGTGTGTGGAATGTAAGTGTGTCATTTATGACTGTGTGACATATTTGACTGTGTGATAGGATTATGACTGTGTATTGTGAGTGAGTGCAATAACTGTGTACTATTTTTGCTGTGTGATAACTGTATACTACGTTTAACTGTGTACCATTTTTGGCTGTGAATACAAAGAATATTTTAAAACAGTAAATTATGAGAATTACAATTAGGAAAAAGGTTTCAATTGTGCAAACGTTAACAAAAGACACCCATAGGAGGTATTATAAAAAGTTAGACAGTGCGAGTGTTGTCGTATGCATGAGAGTGTGAATGATAAACCTGTATACCTTGATAGAAAACTAATTGGGAATCAAAAGACGTCTGTGGCTGTCCAAACTGTATAATTTGTGAATAACTGTTGGGTTTGTGGTTGCTTAAACCGTATAACCCGTTAATAACAATTGGGAATATGAAGGTAAAATAATGAATAACTAGTATGACTAAACTGAAACGTTTGAACTGATATAATTGAACTGTAACGTTTGATGTTTGACATAGCATAATACTGGTTTTAAATAAGTAAATTGAAGTGATATGGTGTGGCGCTTGATTTGATATAACAACCATTGGTTAAATAATTGAAACACTTGGGTTTATTCGTTCGATTTACCATTTGATGTGTGGCGTTTAATTTGACGTAACAACCATTGGTTAAATAATTGAAACACTTGGGTTTATTTGTTTTGATTTACCATTTGATGTGTGGCACAGTAAGAATACTGCTTTCAAACAATTAGACAGAAATAATTCGGTTTATCGTTTAAATATAGACGTGCACCAACTTTAACTAATTAGGTGGGAATTATTTGATTTAAATAAATAGACTAAAGTACCTTAATTAACGGCATAATATTGAAAACACTAAAACAAGAAACACAGCTCCTCAGAGGACACGGAAGGTAGAGTTGCGAGGGGAGGGGCTGGAGAGAGCGAAAGTGTGGCTTTTGGAGCCAGGAAAGACTGGGAGTTGGCTGGGAACGCCACACGGGGTGATTATTTGAGAGGTGCATGTGGGTTTCTGACGAGAGATGTTCTAAACTTGCTCACCCGAACGTAGACGTACGTCATGGGTGAGAAAGTAGAGAATATTTACATTTGCGGTAATTTGGCAGACGCTCTTGTCCAGAGCGACTTGCAGGAGCGATTGGGGTTGAGTGCCTTGCTCGAGGGCACATCAGCAGATTTTTCGCCTGGTCGGCTCGGGGATTGGAACCGGCGACCTCTCGGTTGTTGGCGCGGCGCTATTGGTCACTAAGCTGCCTGCCGCCCCATATGAGTTTAAGGTTGTGGCGTTGTTGGATCATGTGATGGTGGAATAAACTGACCATAAGTAATGTTGTTTTAGACGTAATGTATAATATAGTACAAAGCAAATAGAGGGTTCAATTGAACTAATTATCATGGTAGAGCTAACGTAGTACAGTGAGGGAACTTCATTTTGTGTCAGAGGGTAAGATGAGAAATCATTGTAATGGTGCTATTGGTGGAAATCTATTTATCATATCAAGGCATGGAGTAACAATCTGCATTTCTGAGTGTAAATTCCACTGCTGATTGGTGATTCATTTTGGTTGGA